ATGAGCAACTATGGACCCATGACAGCAGACGCATCACAGAAGCGGTCTCAAGGACCGATGAGCAACAGAGGAAGAGAGTGTACAATGAAAGACTTCAGCTATTGTTCCAAGGGAACATGCTCGCAGCCACGAGACGCCACAAGGCCAAGATTCGGCTGCAGTTCCTGGGAGTGAGAGTGAAGGACCCCGGCACGGAGACTCTTGGATCCGCAGGCTCGAACATGTTGGTATCGATTCCTGACCAGATCACAGAGATCCAGAACAATGATCGTTGCCGGCACAGCCAGAGGTACCTGAACGTTTGCAACGGCTGGGTGAAGCCATGGGCAGTTCGGGCTACGAGTGGTCACTCTGCGCACTCAGATCCCCAGAACAATTTGCTTCAGTTGGACAAGAACAGGTTCGCAATATCTCCATCTATGACCCTCTTGCAACGTCTTGGAGGCGCGTTCCACGCTACGGCATGCCGCAACCTGGATTCCATTGTCACGCAAGGCATCATGCCTGGTTCGGAGGACCCCGACGGGGACTTCGACCATAGGCGCCAATTTCGAGGCAACCAAGGCGGCAGACTCCACAGCTATTGGGGGGGTATTCGCACCGTTCGATCACCGGAATGCGACGACCAAGATGCGGGTACATGGACCACAAGCCAAGCACATGCCGCTGGCGGTCCTCCATGTCCCATCGCAGGACCTTGCACGAGAAGATGGACGTATCACAGACAGCGGCATCATGATCGTTGGCCGAACGATACCGTTCCAGTTCGTCAAGGAGGTATGGTTTTGCGTCCCGAATCCTCAAGATACACACTCTTTCGCTCTGGTGGAAAAGATCTACGATGAACGGTTGGAGAAAGAGATGGTGTTGGACTACAATGCATCACCTTTGCTCCCTGAGTTCGAGAGATACCGAACACCAAGCAAGATCATGGAATTGCTTTGCGAGATGCCTCCTGGACCCCACGACACCAGCAAGGAGCAGATCATTCGAGACCTTACGACTGTCCTGGAGTCCCACAGGGAGAACACGGTTCGGCATCACTACATGGACAAAGGGATCAAGTTTGTAATCAAGAATTGGCGACCCGAAGACCTACGCAGAGACGAGGATGGAAGGAGAATGAGGGTGTGCCCGGCATGCTACAACATCGTTCCAGCATGCTTCTCCCGATGCACGTCCTGCTGGTCACAATTCGTTTCTTGCGGATACTACCAAGGTTCTCCACAACGGGAGACTCCTACGGAGATCCCCAGTGACTTCATTGCTCAAACAATGGAAGCTGCGGCAGCAGCAGTGCCTGAGGCGACCGTCGAGGAGCAGGAAGCCATGGAGATAGAGACCGTTGCGGAACCTGAGGAAATCCCAGAACCATCTGTCATCGCGGAGGACGATCCAGAACAGGAACCTGATGAAGAAATGGACACAGAGCCAGGAGAGGACTTTGATGACGCAGTACCAGATGCAGTTGCACAGGAACGACGTCCCGTCCTCATCGCCGGCCAGTCTTTGAACATCGATCCTGAACTACAACTCGCACGTACCGCCATGCAGCCATCCTACTACTCAGGAAAGCGAAATGCCCATTGCATCGACGCCAACATGGCCGCTCTTTCGTATATGGCATTCGTGGTATGCAGAACCATCTACAAGGCTTGGTCAGGATTCGCGAAGTGGGCGACTATGCCGTTGTTCCAGATGAAGGAGAATTTCGCACTTGGCCAACGCTATGATGTGCTCGGAAAATGGGGATCTTTGGCTGTAGTGGACAGAGAGACGGGTGTGAGCAGGGATGTGACTGACGAGGAGATCATTCGCTTTGCCAAGGAGCCTGAGAACCTCAAGCAGTACGATCCCAACGGGACTTACACTTTGAAGCGCTTCCGGACGAATCAGATGCTTTCGTTGCTTACACGGGGAGCCAACATGATGGGAATTGGCAGGGACAACTTCAACCCTACTACGTACTTGAAGAGCAACAGGGATGAAGATGTGAAGGCTATGCACTTTTGTTGCCTGAACGTCCTGTGCGAGGTGATTCCGATGGTGACAGGACACCAACAATTCTCAGTGCTACGACCAACGCCAACTGGACCGGTGGACTTCTTGTACATCGACCCCGTCGGTATCCTGCTGACTCATGCCGATCATTCAGTCCAGACCATTGGATTGCTGGTGGACCACAATGTGCAAATGCCTGCGCATTTCATGGACAGATTGGTCAGATCCAAGGCTGAGAGACAGCAAAATCCGACAACCAAACGTACTGAAGCCCTACATCACATCTCGGCCGCTGACTATCTCCCTCCAGGTGGTACTTCCATCCTGGACACGCCTGTCACTACGGAGGAACGTGCAAGCGCTTCTTCGGCCAAGGGACCTTCAAAAGGGCGTGAGAGAACCGGAGGTGAGCAGCATGGAGGCTGGAACTCCAACTCCTACTACGACTACACCGCCGGCAAAGGCCGAAACAAAGGCAAGGACAAAGGAAAGCAAAGGGAACAGTATCCAGAGGAAAACCTCCGGCCCTGGGACCGCGATCCTGCGACCACGCGAAGATGGAGATGAATCAACGCTTGGTCTGCCTCGCCTTTCAGTTCGTGACCTCTGAGCTTCGCCCATGGAATGCCATCGCGAATGCTTCTTTCTTCGGTGACGCCTGATTCGTTTGCCATTTCAGGGGATCGTTACTGACGTAGATGAGTGTCACAACGTTTCTAATTGGGATGCAAAGCTCTGATTTTCAATGTCAACGTTGCGGCGGAACATTTTCTGTTGTCCTATCGTGCCATCTTCCGGGTGAGCAGCGTCGGAGACGCAACTCATGGGGGGTGCGAACGGACTGCGATGCCTTGTCAAGTTCTAAGGTGTCACTATAAGAGCTGTGAGCAAGACCGTGTAAAGTGCAAGAGAAGGGGGCACGCTACGCGTCCCTCGACTCTAAGGGGGCACGCTACGCGTCCCTCGACTCTAGGAGTAAGCTTGTGGACGTGCTGCGCACACCGCATCGCTTCTCCTTACCTTTCTATGTGACCGCCCACGCAACGTTTGGCTCAAGTCAATGCCCATAGCTAAGTGCTATATGTGTCTTCTATCCTGAGCAATCAGAGCTATCCCGTGCACAGACGAACCGCCGCCGGCAGCGAGTGCAAAAGGAACGGCCGCCGGTTCTGCCTGCATAGGATTGCACGTGTGGAAGTGTGAGAGAGACAGGGTCCAGTCTGTGGAGAGTGCAAGCCAGCCACACCTACATTCATTACAGCTCTGGTGGGGGAGCAGCAACATAATCGAGATCAAAATCCCCACGCACCTATATACATCGTTCTAATGGCCCCAATGCCAACAGCAATGGTTTTGTGTGCTCATTGCAATCAGTACTCGATACTATTGGTATTTCCGGGCTTAGTGTATTTACCATGGTTATCGGTATCATTGACGTTCTGACTCTGATGTTAGCTGATATGATTGTCTCTTGGTGTTATTCTTATTTGTCGTTTTACTGGTGTTGTCAACTTTCATGTTCAGTATTGTTGCCGGCAATGTATATACATATATAGTGTTGTTACAGTAGTTTTCGTTCTTCTTGCTGTGACTATCATCATTTTATCCGTATTTATTGTTAGCAGCGTTGTTCTCAGAAGTAGGATGTTGACGGCTGCCGGTGGTGAGTAATACTCTGTGGTTCGTCGTTGTTGCCGTCGTCGTAACCACGGCCGCCGTCAGGCGCATCGTCCTCGTAGCAGTAGTGGTTGCGGTAGCTTTACATAGACTATATACTGTCGCACCTTTTCGATGGATAGCTTGCTTCGTGGTTAGGACTCTCCAATACGAAAGCAAGGTCACCAACAACAAGGTATCACATTGTGGGGCTTGGGGTTTGTTGTTCGTGCGAGCTGAGCGGCTGCGAGCTGTGAGTTTACGTTTGCCCAGCTCTGGCCGCTAGGCTTTATTCGGGGGTTCTTTTCTAGAACCCCGTAAAGTCGTAACGAACTCATAATAAATTCCCTACACAGTCTTATCAGCTCCAATAATATCGCTGTGCCGTGCATCGCAGACTTTGGTAGTTTCTGCATTCGCAGTCTCAGTGCCTTGATTTGCTGCCCTCACCGAATTGCACTGGGGTGAAGCACTGAAGGAATTGGGGCCGATTTGGGAGTTTCTGCCCCATCCTGTTTGTTCGATGCCGCGCAGGGGTCGACATGTCTTGCGTTGTGAAAGTCACTGCGAACCTCGGCAGATATCATGGTTGGAGCTTTGAGCCGCGCCGAAGGTCCCAAAACCCGACTTCAGGACCCCCAAACCCGAAAACCCTCGAAGCAACCCAAACCACAAGCCCACAAGGACCGATCTGTAGATCCCAAGCATTGATAAAGGTCGCTACCACAGACACCGAACAGAAAGGTCCTTGTCAAGCCGATGCCTGCAGTTTGCCCTCGAGTTTCAACGTGGACTCTGGTAGTGTTCTGCAACCCAAACACACGTATCTAGTTACCTATGTGCATATAATACATGAACGCATGTACACAACTCACAAATGTCTCGAAGTCATGTCCCCACGGTGAAAGCACCGAATGCAGATACTCCTGAGTTAGGGTTTAGCGGGTTAGGATTGAGGATTCTCTTGCACTCACTCAAGGATAAAACCCTGTACCCGAGGCTGGTCCTCACGCTTGGCTGCTTCATCCGATACACCGTTTGGGAGAATGCCGTGCAGGCTTGAAGGGACTCCCCGAGTGGAGAAGTGGTCTACGATTTCAATGCACAGCTTAAAAGTTTCAGCACATGGAACTTGAACGCAACTTCCTAATCCACGCTTATCATGCACGCCCGTGATCTCTGCTGCAGCGCAGGGCTGTGTTTTCGGGGAGGGTTGCGGCCCGGCCCGATCCCTTCCCTGATTGTCTACATGCATATTAGCAGCAAGAATGTATAGATTTACTGATCTCTTGATGTGAGTGGTGTTCAGGTCAGATGGTAGCCCTGTAGCTTGCTTTCAAGGCATGGGGAAAAGCAGTCTGCATGTGTATGGCACCCTAGACCCTGAACCCGTGCAGTCAACAAAAAGGCAGCTGAATCCATTGCGAGGCCCCCGATGCTGTTCCAATCGTAATCCTGTCCTGACTCCGGAGAGCTTCCACAATTCCTGAAGGCTTAAACGCACACCCCGAAAAGAAAGAACTGAGTTCAAGGTAGAGACCCATTGTAATAAAGTAAAGCAAACTCCAGGCAGGCCATGCGCGGCGTCTCCTCTGCGGCGGCAACCAGGACTGCAAGAACAAGTCTAACCTTCCATGCGCAGTGCAATACCCGGAGGGTCCGTACCTAATTAGCCGTATACTCTCCAAAACACTAACCTACATAATTAACTACTATAGAGCGGAGTACCTACTTATTGGGCGCTTTGGACTCTCAGGGGTGGTGCCCCTAAACCCCTTAACGCCGAAACCCCTAAATCCCTGAACCCCTAAACCCGTGGATCTTGGAGAGGGCTCAGTCTATGGGACACAGTTACTTCATCTGTTCTGAGTTTGTTGCTTGAGAGAGGTCATCAGACTGTCCCTTCTAGAGCGTTTCACATCGTCAGACTCCGAACCACATGCCTCGCCTGGATTGTCCAAGTGTGAGCGCCGAAACCCGCAAACCGCTAAAACCCTAAACCCCGAAACCCTTGAATCCCTATGCTGCCAGGACTTCGTTTACGGATCGCATCCATCCCTGGGGCCGGTCTTCGTGGCAGATGCTTGGATAACAGCTGGGTTGAGGGCTTTATGATAGGATCCATAAATAAGGGCTCCTTAAAGGATTATGTAACATTGCAAGGGTTCTATAAGGGGTTTAGGGTTATAATATGGGTTTAGGGGTTGAGGGCTTTAGGAGTTTAAGGTTTATGCGGTGTTTAGCTGCATTGCGGTTCAGAATCCGGGGTTGAGGTTGTAGATTATGACAAGAAACGACCTGGAGATCATGGTCGCGACAAGCTTGGTGCTTGGGCATTGTGGTGAGAGTTTCGGTGGGTCAGACGGTCAGATAGCTGATCCCGTGAACTTGAATATAGTACAGCTATAAGAAGGAAGCCCCAAAGTAGTGTAGGTAATTATGAAGGCTCCTATGTGACCTTAGTACTAGGTGAACCTCCGCAAGGATACGCTGCCCTTCGACCAGAGGGCAGCGAACATGCTTCCTGGCATGCGGCCCTTGGTGAATCAGGTGCCTCGACCAATTCAATTCGATTCAGGAATTGCCGTTGGGGTTCTGCCGCTACAGGATGCAAGGCTTCCTGAAGAACTGTGCCTCTCTGTCTGAGTATCGCAGTTTGTGTGCAGCCTTGGACAGAATTACGACGTTCGCCCAGTCAGACATCAATTAACTCGTGCAATGTGCTGAGTGGCACCCAATCTCCAGGTAGTCTTCAACTATAATGTTGCGGACATGGACAAGTACATGTGGAGGCAGGGCATGGAGAGCCCTCTATGCAAATTTAGGATCGCTAACTAAGCAACCAGTGGCAGACATACCGCGCCACTATGTAAAACTGCTGCATCGCCTACTTTTCCGAAATCCACAAAACAAAGCCTTGACTTCAACGGCACGAGATCTCATGAGACATGTGTGAGTGGGCTGTCCTTGTGTGCGAAACCGACATGTGCTTACGGGTCAGGTGAGCCTGTGAAGCTACAAGTTCTTTGTCTACCGAAATTGGCAGTGATTCCCCGATCTCAACTCTCAACCACCCAGCTATGTGGGCTCGCACTCTCGAAGTAGGGGGCTAAACATGGCACGAGATACCAAGCCAGCTGTCCAGAGACATGCGCATGTCGCTCAGGCTAGAGACAAAAACCCTTGCAAGGCTGCAAAACCAAAAGCATCCTGCACATCCCTCGAGGCCACAAGGGCTCTGAGGTCCCTAGCAGTGTCGGATGAAATTGCACTGGGGTTTGATTGGGATGACTCCAAATTCCATCAAGACCAAGACCCTTAAGGCGCATGCATTAGACTCTATTAGACAAACGATGGTCCAGGAAAGAAGTTGATGGCGAAGTGTTGGCGGTCAAGCATCTGCCATCAGCAGCGGAGATGGAAGCCTGGTGCCTTGGATGCTGAGTAGAGGGCGGTCTTGCTTGCTGCAGCAAATACTCCCCTTCGGTATTGTGGCTTCATGGCCTGAACGCTGGATTTGCTCCAGTGCCCTCCCAGACTTTTTTCTCTCTTGCAGTCCTCCGTTTTCTGTCCGATAACCGCTTCTCGCCTGACCTTCTGAAGCAACCGGCAGCCGAGTGGCCAGTCGCAGTTTTCTCAATGTAATACTTGCGAGCCCACATACTACATTACACTTGCAAGTGTCGGGTTGGCTCATCACTTCAACGGTTTTATGCCGGGTCCGTTGCAGCAGCAAGAGCAGCAAAGAATTTCAGACATTTGTCCGTCTCTCATCTTCTGCCCCGAACCTGGAGGACCTTGGGCCGTGCCATGCTGAATAGTGGCTCCTTCAGTTTGTGTATAGCGCGAACCCCCCCCGAAAGGCTTTGTCCGATTGGCTTGGCCGGTTTACCCTCTAGGCGCTAGCCTAAGCCCTAAGCCGAGGCTCCAGATGTCCGATACCCAAGCACCAGAGGCTCGTGGTGTAGGGAGTTTACAGTTTAGGGGGCTTGTGGGTTCGGCATTCAGGCTTTAAGGAGTTCAGCATTGAGTGAGTTCGGGATTCAGGGGGGGTCGAAAGGGTCGTGGGCATCGGCTCCTCGAAAGATGCAATGTTGGGAATGCTTGGGGTCTTGGTTTTGCCGAAGGACACGAAGCTTGCGATTCGAAGAAGCATTGCTTCAGCCTGGTGCAGCTTGACATACACAACATCGCTATCTCTGTTCGTTGTTGCACCCTGCTTGTGCATTTATCATGAAGTTCTTTTCGGATACGTTTGGTTTGCAATTTAGTCTGCGATTGCCATGTGTCTCAGGGACCACCCCAAGAACGCTAGAGTGTTTCCAGCTTCAGATGAGACCAGCCCTCTTCTTCCAGGAGACCGCTTTCGGCAGCCGGAGTTATGGGACATACTGCAAAGACCAAGACGATCCTGAGTGGTGGCTGACGGCTTCAGGGTTCGAAGAGTTTTAGCTTGGTCTGGCAGACCCCGGAGTTGGAACTCATAAGTTGTCCGTGCATGATAATGACTGGCTTGATTCCGCCCACTACCCAGATTCTAGACATCATGGAGGAAGACAGGGTTGCCACTCGCATATTTGGCTCCGCATCCTTTCACATGAGTAACAGCTCTGCATCCGTTCACATGATTTAGGGGTCTTACAGGCCTGGAAATATCTGGAAATGCGTGCCCTTCTCAGTGCAGTGAGATAACTCAAAGGTAGATAAAATTCTGGCGAATCTGTGTATATTTATAGATGTGTACATGTACCCACATGTCACTATATGAGAATTTCTATGTATATTATATCACGTATATCACCTACCTGCATACTACGCACTGACAGACACACACACACACACACACACACACACACACACACGCGCGCGCGCGCGCGCGCGCGCGCGCACGCGCACAGAGAGAGAGAGAGAGAGACATGCAAGCAGACAGGCAACAAATAGATACGCATGCATTCAGTGACACATGCATGCATACACACACACACACGCACGCTCCGGCAGCAAAAGGTACACACAACAATCATCGGCGAATGCATGTACGCCTGTAGTCAGACAGATGAGAAGCCCTTTTTGCTCCGTGTCCTTCCCCCTCCCTCCCTGCCTCCCTCCCTCCATCCGCCTGACTTCCCGCATCCCTCCCCCTCCGTTACCGCCTTCCCTTTGTCACCCTATAATGTGTGGGAGGTGGGAAGCCGAGTGGATTTGGCCCACCTTGGAGGCGACGCACCACTTTGGAGTTTGCAGGGTGTTGTGACTTGAAGCTCTGCGTGAATCCTCTTGATCCGGGTTCGGTTGCAGGCCCTCACTGGTGCCACAAGCTGCGCAGAAGCGAAGCCTTTTTGTGCTCCTCGCCGGCACACAGACTCTAGCCACCTGGGGTTCTCTGTTCCATTTCTCTTCCATTAAAGGTCATCAGAGCCATAAGTGCCAAGGACCTCCAAGCACGAGGAGAAAGCAAGAGTGCGAGGGCACCGTGAACGTGATGTAAACCCCGGATTGAGCTCTAGTCCCGTGATGAGGATTATCATCGGGATTCCGATATGTGAGACCAAAAGGAATTCGTTGATCGCCAGGCGTTTACACTGCTTTCAAAAGGCTGGGAAAACGATCATAAAAAACTTGATAGAAGCAATGGTATGGCCGTTCTCAAGTCGAGCCGTGTGCACCCCCTCAACTCTGTCCCCCCCCCCAGATCACGCTTGAGGTTTCAGGGTTTACCTGGACCCCATAAAACCTTCCTTTTTAGGGTTCCCCATCATGATTTCCTTATGTAAGTCCTTAAAACGGTAGGTTGTTTGAGGATAGGGTAGGCTTTGTGGATACTCCCCGCAGGGTGTGGGACTACGAAACAGAAAATCCTTGCCGCACGATCAGGACCAAAAGGATTTACCGCTGGTCCGAATGGTGTGCCCTGAGCTGCTGGGCCCACTTCACTCCTGAGGTTCAAGAGTATTTCTACATATTAACATATACCTGTAAACACGAATGTTAGTGTCTCGTTGTGGCAGTTGTTTCTGTGTGCGCCTTCGTTGACTTTCTTCATATGTGTATATATACATATATGTATATAGGTACATACATACTGCGAACGGACTGCGATGCCTTGTCAAGTTCTAAGGTGTCACTATAAGAGCTGTGAGCAATACCGTGTAAAGTGCAAGAGAAGGGGGCACGCTACGCGTCCCTCGACTCTAAAGGGGGCACGCTACGCGTCCCTCATCTTTACCTTTCTATGTGACCGCCCACGCAACGTTTGGCTCAAGTCAATGCCCATAGCTAAGTGCTATAAGTGTCTTCTATCCTGAGCAATCAGAGCTATCCCGTTGCACAGACGAACCGCCGCCGGCAGTGAGTGCAAAAGGAACGGCCGCCGGTTCTGCCTGCATAGGATTGCACGTGTGGAAGTGTGAGAGAGAGACAGGGTCCAGTCTGTGGAGAGTGCAAGCCAGCCACACCTACATTCATTACAGCTCTGGTGGGGAGAGCAGCAACCTAGTCGAGATCAATCCCCCACGCAGGTTATCAGCCGTACGCGGCTCTGCCTTTCTACAGCAACGACTACTTGATCTACTACGACCACAATGAACTCGGGATCAAGCCAAGATACGACAATGACTTTCGGTGCCGATGTGGCAGCGCCAGCCGTTGGTGAGTCAACAGCTGATGACACAGTGGTGCAATCCGTTGATAGCTCCACGGAAGATGACAAAGGTCAATCTTCTGCGCTTGCCATTGCAAAGGCAGTTCCCAAGGTGAAAGCAAAGAGTCTACCAAGAGCATCTACGCCTTCGCGTCCGACATCCACAGGTTCGAGGACGGGCAAGGCTCCCGAACGACGAGCCGAAGCGTCTGGTTTTCAGGCACCTCGGACTACGTCCAGGGCCAAGGACAAAGGAGTGAAGACCTTGGAAAAGAAGTCGAGACCATCATCTTCGAGAAGCTCTTCAGCGCGATCGAGGACTTCGGCTACTCGTGGGCGTGACAAATCCATGACTTGGAATCGGATGGTTACCAATCAACCACGTGATGCTGACGATCTGGATATGACTCTGGACACTATTCCAGCACGTGGTGATGCGTCATCGGTGACCACGCCAGCCATAGCCGATGGTCCGAATGCCTATCAGGAACTGACGATTTCGCAACAGCTCGAAGCATCTAACCTTGCGCAGCAGATGTACTATCGCAGTCAGATGCAAGAGTACGAAGGAGTTGTTCAGACCCTGATGGACAAGATCAAGGAGATGCAACAAGAAGATGAAGGATCTGGAATTCGCATTGAAGAATTGGAACGACAACGTGACCATGCATGCTTAGCCATGAGGCACATCAACAATGTCAATCAGGAGATGAAGCGAGACTATGAAACAGCTTTGTTTCGCATGGATGAACAGAACTCTGCTCAACAACGTCAAGCACATGCCGTTGCCGAGGAGTTAGCTCAACAGCTACACGTGTTCCGCACGGAGGCAGCCACTAACTTTGTGCAGTTGGAGGCAAGAGCGCAAGGCGATGGTGAGCTTATGGCACGTGAGTATGAGCGTCTGACTCATGAACTTCATGAACATGCCAGAGAGAACTTGTTCCTCCGGTCGAACACAGCAAGTTCGGAACAAGCCTTACAAGCAATGCAGGAACGATTCCACTTGGTCAAGAACCAGGAGTTGCGGGCCGTGAACGAGATCCAAGGGCTAGCTGGAAACAGCGCAG